ACTCTCCTCATTGGTGCGGTGTCACTGCATTCCACTCGCCAGAAAGGTAGCAGGATGGTAATTAAGAAGTGAAGCATCTTGCTGTGAGTATTTTATAACTGTCAATTGGTATGAGGAAAACTCTTTTATGAGTCATCCTTGTGAAACTTAGCTCAGATCCATTTTGAGATAATATATAGCAAAGCTTGTCTCTGTGGGTGCATTTCTAACTCTTTAATTATTTTTGTCTGTTTATTATTATTATTATTATTACAAAATATTATAAATACAAGCACCTGAGAGTCCAAATTGACATTGGCTGCTGCTAATGCAGAATAGTAACCACCTTGGCTCAGGCAAAGAGTAGTCAGTGTGGCAAGAACTGTATAAAATTGGTCTGTTACACTGAGAATTTACCACCACACACATTGGAATGAGTTTGGTCTTTAGTTCTTGACTGAAATATTACAGAATTTTGCTCTTATCGCTACTTGCAGGGAGTGGAAATAAATAATACCAAACGTAAGACAAAATTAAAGATAAATCTTTCTTAAAAGACTGTTCTGCTGTGTCTGCAGATGCAAATGAATTGAATAGTTGGACTTTCTTTTCTTTGGAAAAAGACAAGGGGAAAAAAGCAACTGAGCTGTCATCTGTACGATGTGAAATACAGTTCCACTGATCTTCTCATTTTGGTTGCTGTGACTGCCCATATCCAGGACTGGTGTTATTCAAAGTGGATATTTATAGAGTTGTATAAATATACATGGGCTGTAGGTGGGTTGTTGTACTGGTACCATAATGAGTTGTAGTACTGCTTTCAGAAAAAGGAAATTGTCAGGCTGTGCATGCCCATAATCAAGTCTTGGAGACATGGGTTTAGATGTTAGTAGTGGAAGTAGGACTAGGAGTAGTCAAAGCTCAAAAGCCATACAAATTGTTTTAAAGTCCACACAGTTTAATTCTGAATTCCTGAGGCAGTAGTATGAGTGATTTATCAGTTTTATCTGTGACAAAGTTAGATTGAAAAGCTGACAAAATTGATGAATTCATTTTTTAATACAGTGAATTATACTTTGTATTGTCTTCTGGCTTTTCATATAGAAATACTGCATCAAAAGCACATCAAGAAATACGCTCTGCAGATCGTCTTCTGCTTCAGAAAGACTTTGCAGTTTTACAGTTTTAACAGTAACATTAAATACGTTCTATTGACTGCTTAGTGATATAATGTTGATTATTCTTACATTCCCAGTGCTGATTCACTCCACCTTGTCCTTTCTGAGTCAGTCTGTTGTTCTTTATGCTGTATTCTGAAAGATTCTAGAAAGCTCATTGTCTACAAAAATCCAGTCATGTTTTACCATTGTTTTAAAGTGCTTTGGCTCCATTTTCTTTGTACTTCTTTCTGTTCAGAAGATTTTAGAAGAAATACTACATAGAAATGAAGAAAATTTCAGATAAATGCATTCCCTGTCAGATCTCTTCTGGTGCCTGTCAAACCTATAGTGGTCAATTATTTTGTGTTGTAGAATATATATATAGAGAGAGAGATAAATTATATCTCTAATGATGTAGTAAAGATTTAGTGGGAAGATAACATGTATTAACCCATGTAGAAATGCCTGCAAAATAAGTACAGGATTTAAAAGAATTTTTTCTTACATTGCTTTTAAAGTAAGAGTAAAGTATTTACTTACATTTGAAGGTTTCTTACATAGCTAATGCTGGCTTTCACAAAAAATGCATGCATTGTTTTTTTCTGCTTCAACTCAAGATGGAACTTGTAATGTTTCAGGTTTTTGAAATCGAACAGGGAGAAACTTTGACTTCTAAGAAAACTGATAGGGAATTGTGGATCCTGCTAAAAACTTCTTACAAGAGTGAATTTGCTGTGACGCGATAGCCTTGAAGGAACATTTAGGTAGTGGGACCTGATTCTGCAGTCATGAAAACTGGGAATAGCAGAGAGCTCTGGAAAGGTTTGGCAAGTGTGTGGGGGAACTATGGCCTTGCTGGGTAGAATCATGTTATCCACCTGCACGTGCCATGCTGGTGAAGAGCCCAGCACAGCGAGCAGAATGTGGGCAAAAGCTGCGGCGTGCAGAATCTGCAGGCAGGGAGGGCTGTGGGATCACCCAGCTCACAGCCATGTGCTGTTGCTTTCCTCCGTGTGTTCAGAGACTGGCAGTCCCCAGGTCAGTGTGAGTCTAGCAAGAACTTTTTGAATGTTTTTCTTGATAGGCAGCAGGCAGAAACTGAACACAGTTTCCAATGGGAGATGGGAGGTGTAAGGAAGAGATACTGATGGCTCATCATACTTGGAGATCTGCTAATCAAGGGGGGCACTGGGCAGAGTGCCCTCATGCCTCAGGGGACCTGAAGAACATTACTGTATGGCAATTCCAAACCCATGGTATTTGGAAAATATTACCTGGGCCTTTTTTTTTTTTTTTTTCTCCAGTCAAACCAAATTTCTGTTTAGCACTTTCTCCATTAGTTTTATAGTTTCTTCTGAGTTGCCTTGAACTTGTTTAGAAATGGCAGTTTGCTCATCCAGTGAAATGAATGTTATTAACAAAACTGCATTTACCTCCAACCTTGGCACTAACACCTTTCACTTGCAGCTGGAAACAGTTAATGTAGATACAGAACAGTTGGGTAATTGGTAGCAGATAGAAATTATCGAGCTAGTATGAAAGTTTTTGTTGTCTAATGGCTTGAAAAGGGCCAGGCTACAATCTATTTTTCCTATTGTCCATGATAGTTAAACTTCAGATTAACTTTTGGAGGCTTCTTATTTGGTTGTATTTTTTATGATTTGCAGTTTAGGTAGAAATCTGGCAAAAGAAGTTAAAATAAATCACTATGCACCATTTTGTTCTGGTGGCTTTGCAGGTAAATTGATACACTCCCGAGGACAAGAAACATGTATTTTTGCACTTAAAGTACTTTGCCATTACTCATGAATTTTGCATGGCAGTGGATTCCAAAAGCCAGCATATAAAGGAGAAGCTAGACTTGACTGAATGCTGAGTCAAGACTAAGTCTGTATTTCTCTCTGCTATTAATACTCTTGCCACTGTTATAATGTACTTTTTCTTTCTTCTTTTAGCTATTTACAGCTAAGTATGGATAGGGGAGTTTTTCTGACACAGTAAAACTTATCTAGGAAATAATATAAGCAGCTCAAGATTGCTGAAGTTATTATTTGTCTGCTGGCATAAGCAAAGATACAAAATTGAAGTTAGAAATGTGTGGTGGAAGAGTTTACAAAGAAAGCACAAAGAGTCCAATGTAAGTGAGAGCTGAATCCAGGCACTGGTCAGGGCAAGCACTCATTCCCTGGGCCCATTCAGCTTGTGCCAGCAAGGCTGCTGCCAAACCTTTGGGAAGTTTGCTCATCTTCCCCAGAAGATGTTTACAGGGAATAGAAGATATGCCAGTGGAAGGTGATGTTTCACTGTCTCCTCTTGCCTTGGTGTTAAACAGAACGTGTCAGCACAAAAAGTTTAATGCATTGTTCCCAACTTGAGGATTTGTGGTTGTATTGGTTTAAGCCTGCTGTGAATGATGAAACAGGTTTTCCATCAGCATTGCTTTCAGATGAAATGTCAGCAATTCTTGCAGAAAGTGTTTGTCTCTTGTTTTTGCCTGTCACTGGCACAGCGAATGGCCAACTTCTGTGAACCAGTTCTGTGCTCAAAGTATCTGACTCCTGCTTTTGTCCCAGGCAAGTGAGTAGAAATTTCAGTAGTTGTTTATCTACTCCAAAATAAAATAATCATAACAGAAGTGATCATGAAGGATGGTGAATTATAAACTGTCTAGGCTATAACAGTACTAAACATGTGAGAATTAATGCATAAGGGTGGTACTGAAAGGTTTTCAGTTTGGCATTCTTGGTCACGATGCTCTGACAGGCCTCTCTGCAGTGATCCATTCAGATAAGGTGAAACTGTAATTCTCTGAGAGGAATCAACAGCAGAACAGGGATCTGCTTGCAAATATGCATTGGGAAACTGAAAGCCCTCTAATTTTCCATTCTGCTTATTCCTCTGAAGAGATGAACTTTCCGCCCACACCTTTGGCCATTTACTGATCACCTCTACCTGCAGATGTAACAGAGCTGTGCCTACCTAAAACAAACAACTGGTCCAGCATATACCATTCTGGTGCTGGAAAGGGTGCTGGCCTCTGCGTTTTCTGTACTCTGGAGAAGGGCAGCTTCTTTATGAGATCTTGCCTGCAGTACTATATGGATTGTCCACGGTGTGTTTTAGTGTTCCCTGTGTTGGGGAATAAAAAATCACCAGCTGCCCACTTTTACCACTGCTGTGTCTTTTGACCTAGGCAGAGCAGTATCAGTCCAACTGCAGTCCCTCGGTCGAGTTTGATGTGGGCATTATGTGTGTTGCCATCCAGCAGATCACCTGAGGTCTGAATTGTTAAAAATAGTAGCATGCTGCTGGAATAGTTACGGGATCTGTAGACTGAGCTAACAGAGAGGTACCAAGTGATGAGTATCAAACAAAGGAAATATAAATTTTGGAGAAAAAAATTGTACATTTAAAATTGCATTAAATTGCTCTCGCTGTGCATGTGTTTATAGTACTTTGCTATTTTCTAAGAGTTCTTATCTGAAAATCGATTAGTGAACTGGCTATGCATATATCAGTGCTTACCAAGACTTTCTGTTATTGTGCCAGATCTTAGCAAAACACAAAAACAGACTGAGAGAAGCAGACCTCGAGGGGAATGTGTGGTAAATCATCAGTAGCAGAAGAGGCATGGCCTTCTCCCCCATTCTCAATCTGAAACATCTGTCCTGTCTTTTCATACACAGACTGGATTTTAAGAACTGGGAAGGATCAGGATGTTTCTTTTCATTCTGTTCTTTAATTCCAGCCTCTATCTTAACATATATAAGATTTTTTTACCAGTAAAATTTTGTTGTTTGTTATGCATCATCTGGAATTTTCAACTCTCTCACTGCTATGTTCTTAACTTTTTCCTTCTAGAGCCTGTGTTATCTTGGGTGTCATATTCCTCCTGTCATCTATATGTATTGTGATCAAAGCTATTCACGATCTTGCAAAGAGGGTTCTTCCAGAAGTGGTAAGTTGATTCATGTTCTTTGAAGTATTCACTTTATCCCTTACACTGCCAGTGAGACAGAGAAAGGCCAAAGTCTCCTTCTAGTTTTTAAAGGTATTTATAGGCTTGACTCCACATTTTCTTCTCTACGGTTACATCTACAGGCCAAGTCTTTCTCACCATAATCATTTAAAACTTTTATACAGGACTGCAGAAGTTTACTTAAAGTGAGGCAGTCTCTCTGGGCGTAATGGAAGTGGTGGAATTTTGATAGGAGAATCTTTCCACAGTTTAGTACTATTTCATTATCTTAATTTGGAAAAAAGCTTTTCTTTTCCCCCAGCTCTTGCCTCCAATTCCAAAGCCACGTACAAGTAGCAAGAACAAAAGAGGTAAAGGGAGAATGCTGGGTGAAACAGCTGGCTTTTCAACCAGCTCACCATGGACCATCACAAAGGGTTTTTCTCCTGCTCTCTGCTTTGCATTGGTTATGAAAGCCAATCCCTACCTGGCCTACAGAGCAACTTTCCCCAGGAGCCCTAATCTCAGCTCTGCTCTGTCCTATCCTCCTTGCTTCCTTCCAGCAGCGGTTATTAACTTCCCTGAGCTCTATTCAGCCAAATCAGCTGCTCATTGGAAAAGCCATTTGGCAGTGGTTGCACTCCCAGAAGACTGTTCCTAAAGTGCCCCGAAAAGTTAGGCTTAGATTTAGTTATTGTATAAACTACCTGACCTGGGCGTTTTGCATTCAGCCTTGAAGTATTGTCTATTTGTAATGTCTACAGACTTTTACGTCAGGGCTTCTCCCATACAAGTATCACTCTTCATATATAATTGCAACTCCTTACTTTCCTCCAAGAGGGGAGGCAGAGCTGGGGAGGGGAAAAGAAAAAAAACTAAAATGAAATTTGAGTCCATTACCATGTTAGCAGTGCAGATGACCTACTGGGTGCTGTATTGTCATGGCAACTTTTGAAAAACTGGCCAACAACAGAACATAGTTTTCAGTAGCATGGTGAAATTTGAACAACCACAAGTAGCATAGCTAAAGCCTATGAATTAGTGCATTATTGAATTGAAGCCAGATGCATTGTATGGCTGAAAGTGATTCGTGTTCTCTTTGCATTTCACTTTTCCTCTTTTCCACTCTTCATAATTTACTGCCTCCTCAGTTTTACCAGTGTAAACAGCACATGTAGTTATTCCCCAGCCTGGTTCTGTCAAAATGATCTAGGTTAACTTGAACACTTTTAGTAGTCATTTCTTCAACTCAACCAAAACATTGTGACAGAACTGGGTTAGGGAGCGAGTGTGGTTGTCTGTGTGCCAGCAAAGCAGAAGGAAATCCTGGTGAGGATGGGGGAAGACCCTACACTGATGGTCAGGTAAAAGACAACCTCTTAACTTAGCTGTACCCAAACAGTGCATCTGGCTGCAGTTTGACTTGTATTGAGCGAGAAAATGAAGTCTAGGTATAAGAAGCAGCAGTAGGCCAAGAAGGCTTGACAGTAGCATAGGTCAGATTAATTTGGATGACTCAATCTAATTCATGGGGGGTAAATAAACATCCAGTGTTTTCAGCAGTAGAAACAAAAGTTTAAAAGGTATGCCATCTTCCATCATTACAGGTATCATCTGTAGGTGAGGACTCTGTTTCTTACGTGGAAAGAAAAGTCTCTGAGACATGTTGTAATTTCTTGTATTTTAACTTTTAATTTTTGAAGTCTATGTAAAGCAGGAATAAAATTTGATATCTACAGAAAAGTGTCCAGAAAGAGCAGGTCCCACTATGTTTCAAAGTCCTGTAGGAATTTGCTCAGATCCCATCTGTAACAGACTACCTCGGATTCAGACTTTGGTGGCCTAAAAACTGTATTGAGTGGGTGGATTCTACTTACATTTGACCGAGTATGAGGATAAATATTTTGTTCCTGTGACATCAGGCTGTCTGACTCTCAAGTAATATCAATTGTTGGAAAGATGTGTCTGGCAGGGCACAGACTGTGGCTCTCTAGTTGCAGGGTGAATGCCACATGCACACAGAAAGGGTTTTTCATACCTTCTGATTTTGCCTGGAAGGTAGGTTGGAACAAGGAATGAAAAAAACATGATGCTTCTGTCCTTCATCTCTTAAATGACAAGGCAAGGATTCTCTTCTCAAAGTCTTCCAGTACCTTGCACTGTGTGAAATTGATTCAGGTAAGGGTTTCATAACAGTTGAAAGATCTCTTTGTAAACTAAGGATAACACTGGCAAAAAAAGACAACTGAGAGAACAGGATTATAACAAATACATTACTGTGAATAATAGCCAGTGAGGTATTGAACGTAAAGCTTACTTTATTAAAGATACTTAAGGAAAAGAATGTTGTTCAGTGGAAACCTGTTCTGTTGCTCTAGCTGTGCCCAAATCTGATATGATTTTCTATTTGTGTAATGCTCCCTTAGCATTACTCAGTGCTCTCAGTCTCAGTAGAAATAGTTTTTCTTCCCAGTTCTTTGGGTCTTTGCTGGTCAAAGATGTTTTTAGATAACCTGCAGCCACTTAGGCAATGCCATTAGCTCAGAAGAGTGGAAATCTGCTCAAATGCAATCAGCCAGAGCATAAGTTTCTGCTTCTACTCTTCTATCTAGAGCGTTGCCAAAGTTATACAAAAGTTACCAAACTTATACAAAAGAAGCATAAAAAGCTCCTTACTGGAGTAAGATGACAGAGGTTACAGTGTCTCACATATGAGTCATAATTGCATGATGCTTTTGTATAGTTGGTCTGAAATAGTCTTTCTTGAAGCAAAGGTCATTAAAGGTGTGGGTACTTTTCAAAGTGTTGTGTGAAATTTTAAATGTGTGACTTCAGTCTGTGGTTCAACCCAACTGGAAAATATTGCTCTCGGTATTCAGATGCTGATTGCAAACTAATACTGTCAATTTTTCTTGAAGACAGAAATTGTTTTCTGAGTGTTGCTCTAATAGTTGTGTGCATCACTGTCAGAACTGTAAAGTCTGTTTTTCACATCTTAATTTGTCGTAAACTTCCATGACTTTGCCAGAATTAGAAATTGGAAGCAATTGTATCTTCTGCATTCATCTTAATTTGTGTTAGTTTAAGAGAAAATAGTATGCAGTGGACAGATTAAATTTAACAGAACAACCAATCAGGTATCCTTTAGTGAGTTGCAGCATGCTAAGATTAAAAACCTAAAAATATAGTTAATCATTTTGGAATCATTCTGGATCATTTATACAAAGTTTGTTGTATTTCTTGTTGTATAGAAGATATACAGTGTTTACTATCTGTCTGTTTTTACTATTCGTGCAGTGAGAAAGATTTTTCCTTAAAAAGAATTTGAGATCTTCATTACAGAGATTCTGTTGCCCTTGAAGTGGATGGATCATGGCCAAGGGGCTTTTATGAAAATACTGCTAACAAGAAAGGATGAGGAATTCATGTGACTAAGAAATCATTTGAAATGCTTTTTCAAGTGTTTGGAACACAGATTTTGTTTGTGTGGACATTAGAAAAGGAGTATGTTGTATTTTTGTCATTTTGTACAGTGATTTAAGCTGCAGGTCTGACAGTCCTCACCAAGATTCAGACAACCAAAAAGAGAATGACAGTTGTACTTATGGCATTTCCAGCTTGAGCACCCCATCCATTTCATAAGGGGCTTAAATGTCCACAGCTCCTTGTTAGACTGCAGAGAGGATCTGCTTAATTTGCAGGCCTGGCTCACCGGATAGCTCAGTGAGGCATTTTTCAATCACTTAGCTGAATTCTCTTTTATACCACGCTGAGCACAATTTCACTGAAACACACTGAATGACAGTAGTTCCAGTGTTCAGAATTTTGAGGGGCACAATCCTGACAGCAGCAGGTGGGCCTGCTTCTGTAATCTGCATCTCTGCACATCCCATGGCTTTGGGGATCCAAGCTTGTGTTTCCCTGTTTCTTCTATCGATTTCTAGAAACAGTTTTTAAAGCTCTGTATGTTTTTAGTATCAGCAATATCATGTGATGCTGTAATTGTGCACTGTGGGAAGGAATACTCCATTTTGTGGTTTAACTGTTTTCTGCTATCATAGAACCATAGAATGGTAGATTTTCAAAGAATTTCATTCGTTGCCTCCATAATTCCTGTATTGGAAGTGGTACTTAATTATTGTTTCCCAGTTAATCACCTCCATCCCATCGTAAGCCTACTTTCATACGTCCCACTTGTCCTTTCTGACAACAGGAGAGCCTCTTCTGTCTAATCACTTCTCACATGGGAGATATTCATTATCTTTGGTCACCACTGACTTCCTTTGTAAGTTTCTTTTCAGTTTTGTCTCCATTTGCAGACGGTGAAGCCCAAAGAGCCCGTATGATTGAAGGTATAAGAGTCACCAGAGACTGATATTTTATATTCATTTTTCCAAATTGCTGTTGAGCACTAAATTGGTATTTCTACAGAACTTTAAACTGTAACTTCCATATTCTGCAGTCAGTTGCCTGTTCAGAAATTGCCACTGCTATGTAAACTTAGGGTTTTTCCTATGCACGTTATGTTATCTAATAATTGAAAAGAAGCCTGCTCTGAAAAATGGCAGTCTGTGTCAGGAGAGTTGGCCAGTGAATTAATTATTCACATAAAGTAGCATAATTAATGTAAGAATTGAATTCTATCATGGGAAGAAGTTTCCTTTTCAATAATTGAGATATGTATTAATCCCCAAGGTTTGAAATACAATCCCTGCTGCTAGCATTTTCAATATTTGTAATACAGAGCAGTGCTTTCCAACAGCTGGTCAATAGGATTATATTATTGTGTTTTTAAATGAGTTAAATCATGAAGTCATGAATTATAAAGTTGACAATAAAATGTAGAAATAGGAGAAACTAAAGGGAACTAAAAGGACCTGTTTGTCCAGACAGCCTGGAAACCACCACCATTGAATATACATGGTGAGAAGCATAATGGATTGTTGTTCTCCTACGTATGCCTTTAGGAGCAATGTGCAGAGCCCTGTAGGTGAAAATCC